CCTTTTGATTTATCCCTTCACTGTGTCTGTCTATAGTTGAGAGAGTGGGGTCTAGAATCAAAGAAGATTGGGTTAAGTTGACTGACATTAATTAGCTTACCTTGTGGTTTAATTTTGCTCTTCTAAATCTACCCCATTATTAATAAATTGTGAAATCATCTGTTTAAACTTGGTTTCTGGTATCAGTTATTCACAAAGTCTGGTGCTGGTTATTCAAAAAGTCTGGTTAGGAGCCATTGGGGTCAATTTTCAGGGTAATTGAGTATTTTAATTTTACACTGTTGCGAATACATGGATAGAGAGGCTGATTTGATTTGGCTGTCTGTCTCTGTGCCATAACAGGATTAACAGTAGCTCTGTCTTGCCTGACAGTTTAGTGCAAACACAAAGCCAAGGCAGCTTGTCATGGTTGTCAGCAGACATTATTGAAGAGGGTGGACATGTTTGTATCCAGAACAGTGCTACATCAACCTTCACAACTGCACCATGTACCAGCAGAGAACATTGCAAGCAAACACCCATTTCTCAAAGTCCAAGGGCAGAAGCCCTCAGTTAGGCCAAGGGAGACGGCATTCAGTTAGTGGTGTCAGCACAGTTAATCAAGAGCATTGTCTGTTATTAGTCCATCATTTGGGCATGGTCTGCTGCTTGGGGAAGTCAAGGTTAGCCACATTCCTCATAGAGTGAGAGATGAATGATGGGCATCCACCAGCCTCCTTGGCTTTTTCCTATGTAGGCTGTTTTCTCTTGTAATGAGAGATGGGGAGGAACGAGGTGAGATGAAAGTTGGTGGCACAACTGTTAGTGCTGTTGCAGGTTTTGGACAGTGGAGTGTGGAGTGTGGAGGTGCAAACTTGATGCCTGTGTTGATATGTACAATCTTCTTGGAGATCTTCTCCACTTTGAACCAGCAGTTGGTGGTGTCGATGCTAGCTATAATTCTAAATTCCTACTTTAGAAATAAAACCAGTCTGACTCCAAACCAAAACACAAACAGATTCTAAACAAGGCCTCACACCTAACATGCATTGTCTGACCTAAAATGTCACCTCTTCTTTACAATGATAAAAGCTTTAGTTCTTCAGGACTGTGACTTGAAAACAATTCAGGGAATAACACATACATATAAATCAATTAAAACCTTCTGACTGATTAAAGATTTAACAGCATCTTAGGTTTACTACATCATCATCAGTGGTGTGACCCTTTGATCTTTTACTTATAGGTTCTGTGGTCTGATACTACCCCTTTCACTAACATCTGAAAAAGGACTGAGGCACTGAAAGCTTCTCTTTTCAAATAAACCTGTTGGACAATAACCTGATGTTGTGTGATTTCTGACTTTGTTCTGAGTGAATAGGAGGTGTACAGGCCATGCAGGGTTAGTGCTGTGGGGCGTTAGGTGGGTGCGAAGAATGCAACATTGAGAATTTGTTTTAATTCATTCATGGGATGTTGGTGTTACCGGCTGGCCATCATTAGTTTCCCATCCCTAATTGTCCTTTAAAAAGTGGTGATGAACTGCCTGAATGAACTGTTGCAATCTGTTTTGTGTAGGTTGACCTACAATACCATAAGGGAGGGAATTCCAGGATTTTGACCCAGTGACAGTGAAGGAATGGCAATATATTTCCAATCAGGATGGTGAGTGGATTGGAGGGGAAATTGCAGGTAGTGGTGTTCCCATGTATCTGCTGCCCTTGTCTTTCTATATGGGAGTGGTCAAGTGTCTGAAAGGTTCTGTGTAAGGAGCCTTGATGAATTTCTGCAATCATTCTGTGAATGGTACACACTGCTGCCACTAAGCATCAATGGTGGAGCAACTACAAGTTTGTGGATCTGGTGCCAATCAAGCGGGCTGCTTTGTTCTAGATAATGTCAAGTATCTTGAGTGTTGTTGGAGCTGCTCTCATCTAGGCAAGTGTGGAGAGTATTCTATCATAATGGACAGGCTTTGTGGATTCTGGAGGTCAGTGACATGCGACAGGATTCCTACACCTGTTCTTGTAGATACCGTATTTCTATGGCGAGTCCAGTTCGGTTTCTGGTCAATATGACCTCAGGATATTGATACCAGGGTATTCAGTAATGGATGAATGTCAATGGGTGTGGTTAAATTTTCTCTCTGAAAGAAGATGGTCAAAACCTGGCTCTTGCGCAGTGCAAATGCTACTTGCTGTTTGTCAGCCCAAGTCCTGATATTGTCCAGGTCTTGCTGTGTTTGGATACGAGTTGCTTCTGTAGCAGAGGAGTTGTAAATCGTGCTGAATGCTGTGCAATCATCAGAAGATGGTTGGGCCGAAGACATTGCCGGAAAGAACTTCTACTGTGTTGTCCTGGAGCTGAGATGGCTGACCTCCAACAACTACAACCATCTTTCTTTGTGTCAGATATGAATCGAATCAGCAGAAAGTTTTCCTGATTCCCACTGATTCCAGTTTTATCAGGACTGCCTGAGTCCACACTGAGTCAAAAGTGGCCTTAATGTCATGGCAGTCACTCTCACCTCATCTCTGGAATTCAGTTCTTTTCTCCAAATGTGAACCAAGGCTGTAATGAGGCCAGAAGATGAAAGGCACTGGCAGCACCCAAACTTAGTGTCAGTGAGCAGGTTGTTGGCTCAGCAATTACTGCTTGAATGGTAGAGCAAGACCCTTGGTGGAGGGTGTTGTAGTACCAGGGACTGCATGAATATGAGGTAGGAGTGAGAAGGTAGTCTCACGTACCCTGGTGGAGTAGAGAAGGTGACTGATCTTCCTGTGGCATTAGTGCATGTCCCTCCAGATGGTCGAGACTGTAATTAGCTGGATGGCAACTTCGGACAGCCTGGCACAGTCTGGTGTTGTGTCCTCCTTTTGGCGATCCTGGGGGAAGAGGACTATCCCCCTCTGCACCATCCCGTCAACTGGAACCTCTACATCTCTGTTCACAAAGCAGCACATCAATTTCCCCTTATCTGTTCTGGGGCAGATGTCATGAATTGAGCATGACAACTCTGGACTGCCAGCGCCTGTCTGGGTACACAATGGCCTTGCAAAGATCCCGGGATATCCCAGCAGTGACAAACATTTCCAGCTACGGTGAATGTGGGAATCAGGCTAGCATTAGACAAGAGGAATGTCACAGGGAAGTAGTAGATAGTTCATAAGGTGAGTTTGGTGTGATCACGTGAGAAAATGTGCTAGCACTTGCAGAGAGAGAGAGGGAGACCCTCTATGAAACTCAATGAAAATCAACTTTGCCAAATTATGTAAAGTTCAGCCCCTGGAGTCAATTACACATCAATTCTGTTCTACTGTGGTTCGGAGGGGGAATAAAGCTATTAAGTATTCATAACAGGCAGTAGCTTCACTTAATCCTGTTCTGCGTCCCCATGTAAAAACGAATAAATAATGCATTCAACATATATTATGCAACATGGAAACAAAAACAGTAGATGAAATGATGATTGCAATGAGGTAAAAAGGACCACGGTAAAATTAATTGTTGCTGATAGGTAAAATTAACTCGGTAGCAAAAGAAAAAACACTTGTTCCAAAACATCATCGCTTAAAAAGTAAACTTATTTTGATTCATATATTGCAGTTCATGAAAAAAATATAAAATTGGTCAACATGAACAAATTTGGACAGCATTAGAACCAGCATTTCCAATGTTTTTGCCTTAATAAGTAGTATTGCTTGTAGCTTCATACAGAATGTAAGTGTTTCTGTTCTCAGAATAAAATCGCTATTAATACTTTAATGATCAAGCATCTAACTTCATCGCACATAATACAGTTTCATTTAACCTTCTATAGCTAAAGCCAACATTTTCCATCAATGCAATTAGCATTTTTGTGGTAGAATTACATTTAATTTGATGAAAGAAGGATTTCAACACCATTGATCATCATCTTCCCAGTTACTCTGTCTTTTTCGTGGAACAGTAATATTGGCTAAATTCGAAATCACGGTTAAAACCCTTGATTGCTTCTGGTTATGCCCTTGAGTTATATAGGTGATTTACTTTAATATGGCTCTTTTCACTTCATTAGAATCATTATTTCATCAACATTCACTTTAATCATTGCATAATAAATGTGAAATGCATTATTTACTTCTGTACAGGGGGATGCTGTACGGGGCTAAGTGAAGCTACTGCTTAACATGAAAACTTAATATGCTCCCTGCTAAGCTCAGTTAAACAGGATTGATGTGTGACTGACCCCAGATTTCTCATGTAGTGCACACATACTGCTATTTTCAACTAAAAGATACTACTCATCCCCTCGTTGGGACAAAAAGTGCTCCTCTCAAATATACTCCATACCCTTTAATTTACAACTTTTGTTGTAACTTTTAATCAGATTCTGATCTGCTGGAAGAGGAAAATGGGTGATATGAGGAATGAAATTCTGATCTGTTTTCATTCTGCTATTGTGGAGGAATGCCCTTCCTCCATGAAGCACTAGTTAGTGTCCTGGCCAAGAACTGGCAAAACATATCCAACAAGTAGACAAGCCTGCGTGTCAGGCAAAGCTGGAACTTGAACTAATGGCCCCCGGCTGGTAGTCAAGGGACTGACTGAGCTATCAAGTACAGAGTTTACAATTCTTTGAATCTCGCATTCTCCAGTTCTTCAGTTTAAAACAAATTCACATATCAACTCACATCTAAGGTAAATCCGAGTGATCAATTTTCTCATCAAAACAGCATATAGAATCTTTATTTTCAAAATAAAATGAAAAAAAATCCTCTGAATATTTAAAGTCACCTACCATTTCAATGCTGCAAACAACATTAATTTTAATGACGCCTGTATCAATCAGTCCAACAGGGTTTGACATCATTAAGAAAAAAAACATGCAATTCATATTCCCTCTCTAATCATAAAAAGGCTTTAATTAATCCCAGTGAAAATCGTGAAAAATGAAATTTGATAGAGTTCCCATGAAACTGAAAACATATCTGGACACTAAGCCAAATTAATTTCTTCCGTAGACTATAAAATATCCATACCTCTAGATCATTGAAAAATAAATGTGTGTCAGCCAGATTAAAAATCATTTCTTCCATTCGAAGTCCAAGTGTAACTGCTATAGGTGGATCCTGTAAAACAAAGATTACCATCAGAACCAGAAAGTTGCTTTGTAAATTCCAGCATTTACTTCATTATTTTACATTCTGTACAATTAATGAGAATAAGACTTTGGATTATAAATTGAAGATGAGCTCCCCACAACCCAGAGTAAATTTTGAGGGCAAAGCACACTCCCAGATCACAAAAACAGATGGAAAGACAAGTTGTGAGAGGGATAGAGACAGTTTACAGACAGATATTGATAGTTTAAGTATGTGGCAACAAATTGGCAAATGGAGTGGAACGTGGGAAAATGTGAAGTTGTTCATTTCGGAAATGAGCACAAAAGAACAGGGTATTATTTAAATGGTAAAAAAATGTAGAAAGCTGCAACACAAACAGAGTTTGGGGATACTTGTGCACAAAGCACAGAAGTCTAGCACACAGGTACAGCAGGTAATCAGGAAGGCTAATAGAATGTTGGCCCTTATTTCAAGGGGGTTGGAATATAAGGGTAGGGAGTCTTACTGCAAATGTACAAGGTGCTGGTGAGATCACATCTGGAATACTGTGAGCAGTTTTGGTCCCCTTGTTTATGTAAAGATATTATTTCATTGGAGGCAGTTCAGAGAACATTCACTACGATGATCCCTGAAGTGTAGGGATTGTCTTATGAACAAAGGTTAAACAGCTTGGGACTGTATTCACTAGAGTGAGGTTTGGTCTTGGAGGGGCTGTTGGTTTTAGAGGGGGAAGGTTGGGTGGTTTTGGGGAAGTTTGGAGATAATGGTGGTGGAGGAGGCCTCTGACTGATACAGTATGTGCAGGAAGGAAGCACTCTCTGTTTTTATGGATCTGTGGCCTGCAGAGCTAACATGGCTGGAGGTCAGGTTGGGTGCAGAGTTATCTTGCCAGCCATTATATTGGAGTGCAGTGGAATGAGGCTGTCAATTGGGTATTAATTGCCTACTTAAAGACATCAATGAGGCTCCACCTAAGACCTCAATTGCTGCTGGTATAATTGTGATGGGGTAGGATGGTGGCAGTAATGGCACACGCCTTAATTTATGGATCTACTTGTCGTGATTGTAACCAGGTCAGCCAGGTGGACCTCATAGAATATGAGTTCCCTGATTGGGGCTGTTAATCTGATCTAATCAGGGAGCCCTGGCTGACAGATATAAACAGGAATGTCAAGGGTTCTGTTCACTTTAGGAGCCAGCTCTGGGCTAGCTGGGTCAGTGTCATGTACTGTGCACATATAAATAACTTGTGACTCAGTGTTGGTATACCAAGCTTTGTGGAGCAATTTCACCAGTCATTTGTTTTCTCACCCTGATTGGTCCATAAAATTCATTCTAGTAACCAAAAAATTAATACTTGAAAGTTTTATTTCAATTTATTCAATTTTCTTACTTTAAAACCACTTAGAACTTCCTTATTAAAACAAAATACAAGAAATAATTCAGGAGAAGGGTTTCCTGTTATGAATGAGAAATTTATGCTACATTATCTCCAGGCATAGTATATCATTCTTTTGAATTGTGCAATTTCTGTAAAGATGGACTTGTTAGACTGTACACACAACAGATCAGCACAGTGGAATGAATCTACAACAATGCTGCTGAGTCATTTGTGAAACTGAAATGAGTCTCATATTGAATTAGAAGCTCTGGAGTACAATGTGCAGTGTCCAAATGCTTTGACTTTGTTGGGTTCAATTAAACAAGTGTAGAAAACTACTGCACCTGAATTTTCTCAATTTCATATTCCCACCTATCTTTCCCTGCTCTCTAACACTTTTTGGCTCAATGTAAAAGAACTAACTCCAGACTCAAAAGCCAATCATGTGAATTCCCTGCAATTCTGCTGGTTCAACATAGATGTAAAGTTGATGTCAAAATATTAGGTATGGAAATAATACCAAATCATTTTTGTTCAGGATTTTCTTGCAATCTTTTGAGTTTTTTTTCAAGAAATGATATTGATTTTCTATTTCAATCCATGCTTTTATGCTACACTATTAACTGAATTGCTTCCATGACTGTATATTTTTAACACACTGTGCCCATTGTGCATGAATGATAATCAAGTGGCTTAAAAGTTTATTTTTTTATTCTGAAAGAAAGAATCTCTATTGTGAGTTTGGTGCTTGCTTCAATGTGCACTAACTATTACTTGTTTATATCCATTTTTACATCTTGGTAGACACTAATCAGATGTGCCAAAAATTTGAGTGTAAATAGATAACATTGAATTGGTGTACAAATTGGCAAAACTTCAGTGTAACTTCTTGATTCCTCCCCATTCTCAATTTTACTGCTTTATAACCAAATACTGGGAAGTACTTTGGAGTGTCTGTTTTATTATTTTTTCCATCTGACAGCAGTAAGAATTTGCTGTGGTGAGAACTGGGAGGAACCAGCAGTTTACTGATATTTAACATAATCTAAGCATTAAACAGAAATGAAGCAAATCAAGAAATATACCTATCCATTTGGGTCTATTTTAGAATCAATTCATGGTATGGTAATGGTAACGAGGTCAGTCAGGTGGACCTCACAGAATATGAGTTCCCCGATTGGGGCTGTTAATCTGGTCCAATCAGGGAGCCCTGGCTGACAGATATAAACAGGAGTGTCAGAACATCCTGTTCACTCTGAGAGCTGGCTCTGAGGGAGCTGGATCAGTGTCAAGCACTGTCCACGTGCAAATAAAGGGTGACTTGATGACAGGATACCAGTCTCTGTGAACTATTACACATGGGACGTGGCTACCATTGCTGGGCCAGCATTTATTGCCGATTCATAACGCCCTTGAATTGAGTGGCTTGCTGGGCAACTTCAGAGGGAAGTTAAGAGTCAACCACAATGCTGTGGGTCTAGAGTCACATATAGTCCAGACCAGGTAACCTTATGGACATTAGAGTTGCAAGTTCGATCAATGTATTTTTCTCTTAAATACATCTCTCGATCTTATTGTGTTTTCAGGCTTATTGCTCTGATATATGAAAATGCTGAACACTTAAAAGGGGCAATGTTGTGAATGTATGTTTATGGCAGACAGTCTTGTCTGCTACTCGCATTGTGAAACCATCCATCAACTCCCATCGACTCTTTTTAATGGATATAAAATTGTTGGCAGTGAACCTATTACTTCCCTATATGTATCCAGGAGGTAAAAGGTTCTGCCAACAGCATTTATTCATTCATACATAAAATTTAACTTAAAATGCGGGTAACAATAGTCAAATGAGGAGGGGTGAATATAGTTCAAGTTCACTGAAAATGAAATAAAGACCTTGGGAATCAAGGCAGGATTCAGGTTGAGATTAAATAGATTACATAGTATGGGTATTAGCAGTTTCCAATGTTAGAGCTTCAAGCAGTCAAAATGGGAGATTGTAATTGGGTTTCAAAACAGTATTTCCAGCTTTATAGTGCTGTTGAATCCCTTTTGAAAAATAAATCATAGAGCTAAAAAAAATTACATCCACAATTCTAAATTGTTAATTGAAACCTTCTTGGCCTGGATAGATCTGTTATTCTCATTCTGAGTGCTCCCTTGACACAAAAAGTTGTAATTAATATGGCTTTTAATTGAGATACTTAGAACCTTGCCAAATAAATGCAAAGCAAAATAAATTAATCAATGCAGAAAAATTTCTAAAGAAACAACAGTAGTCTCCAATAACACCTGTCCTATTCTGTCAAGTGCTACTATAGATGGTGCATCATTTTTAAAAGTTTATAGACCAACTGGTACCCAGCTGCAAAAACCATTATCAAATGAAGGTCATAACAGCTTAAATGCCAATCATCATTATTTGTTGTTATGGAAACATAACATAAAAATGGATGTATCATAACATATTTTGAATGAATATTATCCTATCACAGTTCACTGCACTTCTTGCACATAAACCTATTGAAAAATGTTTTATTTAAACAAACCCATCACACATCCGTACGATAACCAATTCTAGAAAACAAAACTTCTGCTGTAAATTGCGCAAATGAATTTAAAACCATACCCATGGCTAAATCCATTGTGTTTGGTAAAAATTAGAAACATTTTGAAGGTTTTTTTATAATGAGGAATGGAAAAGCCTAAATAGCATGCTCATTTGTTTTGAACAAAACCTTTTAAATTCTAATATTGTGCTAAGTACAACGGTATTTCCTACTAAATAATATCTGTACACCACATTATAGTGAATTATGTATTTTTAATGATACTTGCTCTTAGCCTCTTCAAACAGCAATTACATGCACTGTGCCACAGTTTTATTTACATTTTGGCAAGTTGGCCATTATTTCGACATTGTTTTTCACAGAGTGTCTCATTCTCATTTAATGGCTCAGTAATTCTTCCTGTGTACATCCCGTGAAGTATTCCAAAGAACACTTGAACCTGTCACTTCACCGGATAAAATATACCACATACCCTACAGTCAATAGCCTTCATCCTCCCACCTATCCTGTTACTGCCATAATAGCTGCAGGTCTCATTCTAATGTAAATCCTAAGGAGAGAACTGTGCATGGTAATAATTAAAAATTTATTGATGTCTAGACAACTGGAAGATTCAGTTATACCTCCAGTTTGGCGGCTGAGAAAACAGACACCAAATTACCTCTGCGTTATACATACTTAATATGGCTTTTTTTTTTATCACTGTGATTCAACATTTAGATCCGTTGCAACATATATTTAAAGCAAGCACTTCAAACACTAATGACCCAGTTATATAGATCAGTATTCCAAAATCATACTTGATTTGGCAAACTTTCGTATTATCAATAAATCTCCTTATAACCACTGAATAGCAAAATGCCATATTCCAACATTCTGAAACAGTGATTCAAAAGTTAACTAAACATGAGATGTTCAAGCAAATTCTAAATAGTTAGATTCATAAGACCTTCATCCAGACCGTTGTCTAGTAAACATACTCATTCTTAAAATTAAAAGCAAAATACTGAAGATAATACTTAGACTGAACCAAAAATAGGTTTAGCAACATCTTT